ACCTTCCTTCCGAGGAGTGGCTGGTGGGTTTGAACCTCCAGCCTTCTGGTTAGCAGTCAAGTGCCTTAGCCACTATATTATGGAGTGTTAACTGTCCCAAAATTAATGTAAAAAATTAAGAAAATCCCAATCAAAATATCTACAGGATTTGTGTGTGAGAGATCAAAAGGAAACAATAAAATTTTTCTAAGGTTTAGGTGGTAAATCAGATCAAAATCTGAAAAAGAAGGGTAAAGAGAAGGGGACTAGCCCATCAGATAATAAAAGAAGGATAAAGCAAAATGTTTTTAGAATCATGTGATCCAACTGTAGGACTACACAGGATGCTCAATGGAAGAGAAAAGAAAGATCAAAATCAGATCCATGAGTATGTAAGGATTTGACCACTGATAATGGTGGGCATCCAAACCCAGGGGGGGAAATGATTAATAAATGCCAGCAGTTACCATATAGGAGAAAAACAATAAGGTCAAAGGATAACTTGTGAGTTGTTTTGTTGGTTGGTTGGCTGGTGAAGATATTCACAGCCAACATTTATATCAACTCATTTCGACATGTGAAGTTCAGTGGCAGTGGTTACATTCTTCAAGTTTTGCCAGCTTTCTTGATAACTTTCTCCAAGTTGTTTCACCTTCATCTATGCAAACTCACTGCCTCCTAAGCTTCTCATTTAACCTTCCAAGTAGCTATTGTCAGTTTGATCTCATATAGGTAATTCTTTAAAATAACACAATGCTCCAGGCAGACATTCTTTTCTAATTATGAAAATTAATTATTAGTTAAAGATGACTTCAGGGGATAGTCTCACTTTTAGCTTATAGTTAAATCACAGGGCAATAGTTTTTGGGGTCAGCAGCCTCAGTGACTCCAGAAAGTCTGGATTCCATGAGGATTTTGAAATTCTATTTCACATTTCCTCCCTCTTCATCAGAATTCTTCTATAGAATCTTATTGATAACTTGTGAGTTTTGATAGTAAATGGCTTTTACAAATCTGAAGCAGCAAGACCTAAACAGCAAAACAATATTCAACCACCTAATAGTAAGCATAACAACAACAACAACAATAGTAAGCTAAAATTCAGTGACCATGAGCTCTCAACTCTGCTTCTCCAGGATTCCCAAAAAGAAATGGAATGGAGTCTATTCATGTACTTTCTTCCATTTTGCCCCATTCTTAACTCCTCTTCACAGTCAGTATGTCTATAACCACAATGGAAAGGATTCATGGATACAAAGGATTCTGGGAAATTAAAAGAAGCTCTTCTCTACATATTTTGGAAGGAGCTCTGGTGGAGTAGTGCCTAGGGCATCTGACTGCTAACCAGAAGGCTGGTAGTTCAAACCCACCAGCTACTCCGCAGAAGGAAGACTAGGCAAGGTACTTCCGTAAAGTCTTACCACGTCAGAAACCCAATGAGGGTAGCTATGAGTTGGAATCAACTTGATGTCAGTGAGTTTGGTTATTTATTTTTTAAAATACATTTTGGGATCCATGATCCTTTCAAAGAAGTGGCTGGATAGTACAAAGAGTTTGCACGTGACTAAAGGTTTGCAGTCCAAACTGACCCAGTGGTGCCAAGTAGAAAAGGCCTGGCAACCTGCTTCCATAAAGATTACAGTCTAGAAAACCCTAGAGCAGTTGTACTCTGTAATGTTGGGGTGCCATGAGTCAGAGTCAACTCAATAGCAACAGGTTTGGTTTGGCTTTGAGTATGCCCAATTGTTGTCGGACATCAATATGGACAATCTGAGCTTTAGCAAAGAACAAGAATAAGTCTTACCTGTTTCCTCTTTTCTGGAGGAAGTGATGGATCTCCATCCTATAAGGAAACCAGTGTTACTTTTTCAAAAAAATAGATTTGCTTAGAGTCAAGGAAATGAACCAAACTATGAGTCTAAATCTAGATGCCTACCCTCAGCAGCCCTTAAACCAGTAATCTGCTGAACCAAGCTCAAATGTACCTTTTAAGAAATTAACTATAAACTAAATCAGAGTTATTTTAGTTCCAATTAGGACCAAACCTAAATATTTTCTAAAATCATGTGAACTGGAACAAAACTGGATTTAACAAAATTATTTTTGAGCACAGCTTCAAGTGAAAGAATATTTCATTTGGTTTGGGTTCCTCTTTTATATAGCTAGATCCAAAGGAATAATGATGTGCAGAAAGACACCCACAAAACCACACACACACACTCAAAGGTGGTAACTTTTTGATTAGGACTTTCTTGGTTTTAGTACTAAAGACCCACACCCTGGAAAACTCCTGGTCTAAAGTAGAAGATAGTAAATGGCCATGGTAACTTCAGGAGCCATTTACTTCTGAAGTAAATTGGGACTGTTGGTCACCATCACACACACACACACACACACACACACACACACACAAGTGTTCTCTGAGGGCAGGAGAATGGCAGAGGGGAGGGGAGCAAGGTGGAGGTAGGAATTACTCAAAGTGAAAGAAAATTAACAGAGAACTTCAAATTCTATCAGACTCTTGTCTTTCAATGACTCAATTCCTCTCCTTTTCATACCACCTGGTAAGCAAAAGATGTCTGTAGTGAACAACTGTTCACCAAACAAGTCCCCTTCTAGCTAATGCTGTTTATGTGTGACTTAAAGGTTTAGGTCAACATGATTTTGATCTGAGGGATTGCTCTACTCTGTGACTGCTCCAGGACACTTCAATGACTCTTGGCACAGGCCACTGCCAAATGGCAGCAGTGCTTTCAAAAGAGATGGTGTCAATGGGAAAAATAAGCAAGGATGCAGAGCACCAGGCAGTCAGTCTCTTCCATTGCTGTATAATCTGCATCCTTCCACAGCTTGCTGTATGAAAACCTAGAGACAGTCTAAATGCCTACAGTAAGGGAAAGGTTAACAATTTTAGAAATATGTACACCATGGGTTACCACAGCTGGTGAAAAGAATGAGGAAGCTCTGTGTGCTGAGTGAACTAAGGTGCTGAGTGAAAAGAACAAGTTTCAGGACAGTCATGTATACAATGCTGTCTGACAGAACTGTCGGCCATGATGGAAATGGCCTCCATCCATGCTGTCCAGCACAGTAGCCACCAGCCAACTGTGGCTGTTGAGTCCATGAAATGTGCCAAGTGAGACTGAGGAACTGCATTTCTCACTTCATTTCATTGTAATTAATTAAAAATTAAACGTCAATAGACACATGTGGCTCTACTTTGGTCAAGTCCTAAGGGACCAGTTCTTGGAGAAGAATATCATGCTCGGCAAAGTAGAGGGGCAACGAAAAAAGGGAAGACCCTCAGCAAGATGGACTGACACAGTGGCTGCAATGATGAACTCAGGTATAGTACGATCATGAGGCTGGTGCAGAACCAGGCATTGTTTCGTTCTAATATGCACAGGGTCGCTATGAGTCGGAGCTGACTTGAAGGCACCTAACCACAATGACAACATGTGGCTCAATGGCTAACATATTAGACAGTACAGATTTACAATATGAATCCTCTTTAAAAAAAATTCCATATGAGTAAATTAATAAATAAATAGCCACACTCAAACTCCAACATAGATGTAGTCATAGGTTTGTATGGGCAGGGAAAGCCATCTGGGAGCACATACGTTTTGACTAGTGAGTGGGGCCAGGTGGAGGAGGAGATGGGGGTGGTGAGTCTTCACTCTTCACTTCTGAACCTTTCTACTTCTGCACTGCTTGAATTGAACCATATTTTGAACAAACTGTATTTTAAAATCCACCTCCCAGCCCCCTATCTTCACGAGGGAGGAAAACAACTGACGTCATACGTACAACCAGCTCGCGGTATTTCTTCTTCAGGGACTGATGGCGTTCTCGGAGCTGATTGGCCATGAGTTTGTACTGGTCTCTTTCCTGCTGGCATGTGTCCAGCTCCTTGGAAAGGATCAGCAGGGCTTCCTTTTTACTCTCCAGTTTCCTTTTACACACGAGGTACTGCAAAGCAAACCAATGAGAGTGACTGGTCAAAAACATCAACAGGCCTGCATTTAACACACCCTGTACTTAACACACCCTGTGGATTCTTTTGCCCCTTTCATTTTTAGAGATCCTACATCCAGAGACATTTGTTGGTAAGTGATACAATGTCCAATAAGGACGTTACACAGTGCCTGACATATACTCTGCTCATGACAGAGCCAAAACTCTTGGACATTAATGAACTTTGATAAATTGGGACAGCTAAAATGATTTAATGAACAAGTACAAAAGCAGGATATTAAAATGGATATGTGTGCATGTATGTGTATATGTGGTGTGTGCATACACACATACATACATACAGAGGGGCCAGTGGTGCTTGGTGGTAGAATTCTCAACTGCCACGTAGGAGACCTGAGGACCTGAGTTTGATTCCCCATCAATCCACCTCATGTACAGCCACCACCCATCCATCAGTGGAAGGTTGCTACGATGCTGACCAGATTTCAATGGAGTTTCCAGACTAAGACAGACTCAAAACAAAGGCCTGGAAATCTACTTCCAAAAATCAGCCAGTGCAAGCCTTACGGGGTACAAGGGTCTGATCCCATTATTCATAAGCTTGCTAGGAGCTCTGGTAGCATAGTGCCTAAGGCATTTGACTGCTAACCAGAAGGTTGGCAGTTCAAACCCACCAGCCACTCCCCAGAAGGAAGGTTGGGCAATCTACTTCCATAGTGATACTGCCTTAGAAACCCAAGGAGGGGTTGCTATGAGTTAGAGGCCAACCCAACAGCAGCTACAACAACAGTAACATTTACAGCCAGAACCTCATTTTTTTCTAAAAGATTTATATACCTAGATAAAATTACGTACAATTTCATTAAAATTTTATAAAATTATATACATAGAAAAATACTTAAGTAGAAATTTGTAAACATATTACTAACAGGTAGCAAAGTTAGTTGTATGTGTAGTTTTTAAAAAATTTCTTCTTTAAGCTTTTCTCTGCTTTCTAAATTATCCAGGAAAAAAAAAACAAACGTCCATAGCTTCTATAATCAGAAAGAGCACCAAAAATGTCATTAAAAATAATTTAATTGAACAATAAATCACTGAAATAGATTGTACCTGCCCATAAAGCTGAGCAGACATTCTGTCACTTGAGAATTTGTTCACTAACTCAGCCTGTATCTGTACAACTCCTGTGATTCAAAGACGGGCACCCATCACCCAGAGATCCATTCTACGAGTTACGTATTCCAACCATCCTTTAAATTCTCCAAAAATCACCAGGTGCACCTTGCTGGGACCCTTGCCTTGGAGTTGTGGGATCTCTCCATTGCTCCCTGTCCCCACTTCCCACCCCCCATCCTGACCACCCTCACCTAACACTCAATCACTGCACTGGCCAGTGTGGGCCCGACTAGGACGCTGTAGTTTTATTGGATATACTGCACCATCTGATGTTATTCACACATGTGAAATGTGGCACTAAATACCTTTTGAATTTGCCCCGTAAAAGACCAAATTCAGAGCATTCATGAAAACAATTTATAGTTTCATTATACACTCTGACATGAGTACTTTGTCATTGCGGAGGCTCTCACAAAGCAGAGGGGGAATCAAACACTCCCAGACCATTGGAGTCAATGCTCTTTTATGGACGAAAAGCATTACTCATATATAGTGCTCGCTCAGAACTGACTTTGGTAAGTTCAATTTCAAATAAATGAAAGGGGAAAAAGAGAATTTTGTGCATTAGCACAATTTTTTTTTTTTTTTTTTTTTTCTTTTTAAAAAAGTAATTGCCTACCTTCAAAAACAAAGGAGAAAGAAAAGCCTTTCTGAGACGGATGTGAGTTCTAAGAGAGGGCACTTCCACTTTGGGTGAATTTTATTCCTCGCAGTAATGAGGTTGGAATCCTGCCTTAAAATGTCCTGGATTTTGAGACTGTGACATGGTCTTCATGGAGGCAAAATGGATCTCTCTCCACAGTGATTTCTCAAGAGTAAAACCCCCAAACAAGTAAATATTGGAGGAGAGAGACTCAAAACCTAAACCGTGATGTCCTAAGGGAGGTATTGAGATTTCACAGGAAAAAATACCATTTACACACAATTTAACAGATCTGCTCTTGTTCTTCAGTTCTTTTTCCATGATCAGCAGCCTCGGCGGGCAGTGCTATCAGGATTGGTGGCACAAAGACAACGTTTGTGCCTTCAATTTGTCAGATCCAAACCTGAGACCCCAAAGATACTCAGTGTCTTCCCACTTTGGGGACAAAAAGTCCAATCGTGTGGAGACACTGTGAGTTGCAGAAGGCAAGACTAGATGTAGCCTCTGGTCTACTGAAGGTGGGTCAGGCAAGGGCCCAGCCACTGGCAAAGTGGAAGTCAAACTTGTCTGACCATGAGCAGCAATCTGTTAGGGTTTGTTAGGGGTTGAGTTGTGTTCCCCTAAAAGATATGCTGAAGTCCTAAGTCCTGAGACCTGTGAACATGACCTTGTTTGGAAACAGGGTCTCTGAAGATGTTATCAGTTAACATGAGGTTATTCTGGAGTCGGGTGGGTCCCAATTAAACATAAGGCCTTAAGGAGCTCTGGTAGTGCAGTGCTTAAGGCATTTGACTGCTAACCTGAAGGTTGGTGGTTCAAACCCACCAGCCACTCCACAGAAGGAAGATGGGGCAATCTACTTCCATAAAGATTTACTGCTTCAGAAACCCAGTGGGGGTCACTGTGAGTCAGAATTGACATTAAGGCAGTGGGGTTATAAAAAGAGAAGAGACCCAGAGAGCCATAGAGAGAAGAAACTAAAACCAAACCAAGTCCATTGCCATTGAGTCAATGATGACCCATGACAACCCCATGGATTACAATGTAGAACTGCTCCAGAGGGATTTCTTGGATGTGATATTTACAGATTGCCAGGACTTTCTTCCACCAAGTGACTGTGTAGGTTGGAATTACCAATCTTTTAGTTAGTAACCAAAACCAAACTCACTGCCTTCCAGTTAGTTCTGACTCATAATGACCACTCCTTGGGTTTCTGAGGCATTATCTCTTTGGAAGTACATTGCCCAATCTTCCTACTGAGGCGTGGCGGGTGGGTTTGAACCACCAGCCTTCTGGTTAACAGTCAAATGCCTTAGGCACTACGCCACCAGAGTAGTTGAGTGCAAACCGTCTGCATCATCCTGGGACCATATAGTAGGAGGACAGCCATGATAAGATGGGAGTGATGTATCTACAGGGCAAGGAACGCCAAGGATTTCCAAGAAACACCCAAGCTAGGAAGGGGCAACGGCAGCTGTTCCCCCAAGGCCCTCACAGAGAGATACTGGCCCTACCGACACCTTGACTTTGGACTTCTAGCCTCCAGAACTGTCAGAGAGTAAATTTCTATGGTTTTAAGCCACCCCGTGTATGGTACTTCAGTACAACAGCCATAGGAAACTAACAGAGAGTCCAAAAAAAAGAGTTGTTTTCCCCAAGGCAGAGTCTGAATTGGGTTGTGGAAGCTGCGAAGGGCAACACCAGGATCTAAGTAATCTGCTGGCAAACCTAGGCCCAGGGGCCTCTACTAAGACTCAGCGGTCCAGGTTTTGAGGCATTGAACCTCAGGCAATTTAGTTCCTCCATCGTTGTTGTTGTTATGTGCCATCCATAGAACATTGATAAGCACCATCAAAGAGTAAGAAAGCAAATGCGTTCTGTACAGAAAATGAAGACACACCAAGAAAAGGGTGGAGTTGAAGGACCACTGCTGGTCCTTTCTTTTGCTTACTCTAGTCCAGAGCAGTGACTTCCAAAATTTTTATTCCAGGCTATTTAATTTTATCAGTAAAACTCTCTTTCAAACACACTTCAGGCTGAAGCTTCACTTATAAAGTGACCCCACCTGGAGTTGCTCTGGCTGAAGGTGGGGAGTTCCACATGAGACCTTCTTGGTAGTCCCACCCACTCTGGCGTGGTGGAACCCTAGAATGCTGCAGCTGTATATCACCAGCAATGTGTCTTCAAAATGCAGATTCCTGGGCTCCAGTCCAGACCCCCTGGATTGGAATCTCTTGTGGCCCTAAGCTCAGGAATCTGCCCTGTTAGCACATAGCACAGGCCATTCTTATTCAACATATAGTTTAAAAACAAGCTCTGGGAACCTCAAGCTTTATGGTGTCTGTGGTAGTTAAGGTTTTGTGTCAACTTTGCTGGGCCTGGTTTTGAGTGGCTGGGCAGGTGGATGTAGTTATTTCCCATGATGAGGTTGGTAATCAGTTCCATGGTAGAATCTGCTGTGAGCAGCTGAGTAGCTGCCTTAGGGATGTGGTCTAATTCTAGTATATAAGAAGATAGCTTTGAGAAAGGTCTTTAAACTTTTTGGCATGCTTGGACCCTGCATGTAACTGAGTCTTCGTTCAGGAGCCTGTCATGTTGCCTGCTGATCTTGGGACTGTTTCTGGACTTGAACTAGTGATCTGCCATGTTGTTTGGTATTTTGGGACTGTGCCATTTTACTTGTTGATCCTGGGTTTGTCAGAGATGCCTCCAGTTTCAGTGGGCCAGGAGCAAGAGGCAGAGCTGAGCTGAAGGTTGAGGGGCCTTCACCCAGACCCTAGAGCTGGCACTTTGAACTCACACTTCTAGCCCCCTAAAGTGTAAGAGAATAAAGCTCCATTTGTTCAAGCCATTCACTTGTGGTATTCTCTGTTAGAACAGCACTAGAAAATCAAAGTAGTGTCTCAAAAGTCAGACCCAACTAAAATCATGTGGAGATACTGAGGGACCAACTGGCAGCCCACAGGTTCAAAGGCAAGGCCAGCTCTAAGTCATTCTGATGGGTGTCTGTGTGACTTTTTGTAGCTCAGAGAAGTTAACAACATGTTTTACTACATCCGGCCAAAAATCCTATATATGCAGTCTCATTAAGATAGCAATAGGAGATGCAATGGGAGATGTGCGTGGTGTCAGGGAAAGCGATGGGATTTCTCATTCTCGATCTAAATTGTGATCA